GCGCGAAATTCAAAACAAACAAACAAAATAACGTTAAACACTAATATATAATCTAGCCGTCCCTAATTTAGAAATGATAGAGTAGAGGGAAGACAGACACCTCATATCGTCAACTCGTATCGTAGGAAACCCTAATCAACTAGTGGAATTTGGCTGTCACTCTTATAACGCGCCCAGAGCCATAAAGTGCAAACTGTAATTTGGGGGGGGAGGCGGTAAAAGATGCGAACCTGGGATCCATAGCCTAGTACGCTAATCATTGGGTTGATCTAGACCCTCACATAAATGAAGATGTGACATACAGATTTAAAATTGTATAGGGTATATTTACCAAACAGGCATCTAAAAAGTAACTGTTTCATCAACAGAACAGTTCAGGGTTAGATTATAAACAACTACGTTGATTATGTATAGAATATTAGATTCTTTCAACCATTATCTTCCTCTAAATGAGGCATTCCTTGCTCTATATATATATATATATATATTTAATCATAATCCCAACAATACTCGAATCACAACTGTAATATGAAACCATTAATATCGACACTTCAGCATTCAGAAATAAAAAGTTTTTTTGTGTGTTTTCTTAAATACAAAAATATCTTGGCCACGTATAGCTGCTTAAGAAGAATCGCTAAAAATGAGTATATTTACATAATATAAGTATTGGAAGTAAGTCACACTAGCTTGACGTGTCATTAAAAGAATGTTTATATTGTAGTTTATTAAATGCGATTCGAAATTTTTAAAAGCAGAAAACAAACTCACTTCAACTCATGCCCAAAATTATCTGTTAGTCAATGTTTACTCGTGTCTGTTTGTTTATTTTATAGTAAAGCTACATTGGATTATTCACTGTAACCACCGCGGGAAATCGAACCCTGGATTTTAGCGTTGTAAGTCAGTAAATTGACAGTCAACCCACTCGTGTCAAAATGTCAAACAAAATATGTGATGTTGGTATTTAAGAAAAAAAGATATAATTATTAAAAGTTTGTCAATTAACAACACAAAGAATATTAAGTGTTTTTAAGCTTGGCTAGGAATTATTATGACCAAAACAATTTCACTTGAAAATGTGCACTTATAAAGTGAAACAATAATACGTTAGTAATTCATTAACAACTTATTAAACATGTATACTCTTCAGGAGTCTTTTATAGCCTAGGTTTTCAAGGCAAACTGGTTCCAGTAATTTACAGCTATATTAGTCTTAAAGGATGATTTATATATACTGCCCTACCAAAAGTACCCGGACAACCCTTGAACATGCAACATGATCCGCTCCGCACAGTTTGCGGGGGAACTTTATGAGTATAACTGCATCAGATAGATAGACTAGTAGCGTCAATGTATGTACAGATGCTAGAGTAAGTTTGAGAAACAAAATATTATATATATACTTCTGAAAGTGTGGAAAAAAATCGATGCGTAAAATAGTCGCAATGCTTCGTCAAGTGTGATCTATTGTAAACGAAACCATTCAGTTTTACTTCAAACTGTTGATACTACTTCTAAAAAATCTAGGGGCATTTGAAAATGTCTTTGAAGAGTGATTAGTTTTCATTTATTAGAATTGTTTAGTGCTATAAATTATCTGTTAAACAAACATGCGGTGTTTTTATTACAGGTTTCTTTCTACCAAAGGTAAAATTAAAAATATAATTTGTAATTTTATTGCATTAAATATGGATACGTTAGAAAGAGTACTTTCTGTGTGTTCTTGCAGCATGTTCTCTTCGAATATAAGTACATATTAAAGGCTATAACATAATTTGGATAATGCTCGGCTCTGTTTTACTTGGTATAAACCTCTCAACAGTAGAAACTTAATTATTAATGGTAGAGAGGTGAGAAACACTACAACCAGTTTTCAAGTGATAACTATATGGCTATAACATCATTTGGATAATGCTCGGCTCTGTTTTTCTTGGTATAAACCTCTCAACAGTATAAACTTAATGATTAATAGTGGAGAGGTGAGAAACACTACAGCCAGTTTTAAAGTGATGACTATATGTGGGTCTTGGAGACAAGTAGGTGAACAATTCAACTTTATTACGTTATGTTAACTATGAAGGATTTTGGTGGAGGTGTGATGGCGAGAGTTGGGACCTGAACCATGGACATAGGACTTATTTGTTAAGTGCACGAGGTTATCAAAAGATCTCCAATTAACAAGTTCCAATGGTCATGAAGGAGTTACTGGTCAACAACGTGAGTGTCATTCAGTGATCCCTGTCATAAAGCGCGTACAACCTACGTCTGAAAAATAAATATCAATATTCAATTTCTTTGAATGGTATGCCCGGAGGGATTTCTTGAGACCATCTCGAAGAGTTTATGGAAAATTTAGACCACAATTTTCCAGTCACTGGCAAGTGACTGATACTAATTGTAGCACTCACCTTTTGGAATCTATCTGAAATCGTTCTTCGCAGAACAGAAACATTGGAGACTAATTGTAGCGGTTACCTCTTGGAATCTATTTGAAATTATTCTTTGCAGAATAGTAACATTGAATACTAACTGTAGCAGTCACGTCTTCGGATGTATTTGAAATAGTTTTTTGCAGAATATTAACAATGGGAACTAATTGTAGCAGTCACCTCTTTGAATGAATTTGAAATAGCTCTTCGCAGAATAGTAACATTGGAGACTAATTGTAGCAGTCACTTCGTGGAATCTGGTTGACATCACACTTCGCAGAATGGAAGCAGTAATCTAGGCTTTATTCTATCAAGACTGTG